GACGTGAACGATCATGTTTCTCCTATCTCTTGTGGCTCTTAGCAACGTTTGTTACTTTGTCATTCATTCCACTGCTTTCCACCAACTCGTTAGGTAGGTGCCCCCCCCCACTTGCCGGCTCTTGTTATCTATATGTTCTGTGAATGTCAAATTTTCTAAATTCTACTTCTTCATTATGTGTCTAAGAAATTTCAAACGTCTCTTCCTGATTCTGAGCATAAGTGTCTGTTTTTATTCTATTCTCCTGGTTGCTTACAAGCTTCGTCTATTGTAGGATCTTTCTCAGGATCCTTTTGTAGAACAATATTTCTATTGCCTCAAGTCTTCTCTACATCTGTGCAAAAATTGACCAATATTCATTGCCATAGCAGTTAAGTACTCTTTTATTTATTACTAGCGAAATGTTCGTGTTTATTAGTACTTTGCTTTGCTTTTGGAGTGCATATTTTGCGATTCCAATGTGCCTTCGGATTTCGGCGTCACATTTTCCATCTTTTGTTAAAACACTTCCTATATATTTAAACGTATGTACTTGTTTGATTTTGACATCTTCACTTCGTAGTTTGTGCCTTGGGCATATATATGTATATTGGGCATTTTCTTTTACTAATAACCATATACTCTGTCATCTAACAATTAACGGTTACCCTATTCTTCATGGAATTTACTATACTACTAAACTGGTTAGTGAAACGAATTTGTTAACCATCGCAGTACAGCAAGCAACCTATTTGACTGAGTGCTAAAGAAAAGGACTAACTGTTTTAGTTGGAAAACAGTTTTCTTTCTCTCGCGTAACTTTTGATATTCTAAAAGTAATTAGCCTATAATTTGCTGTTGAGATCAATACTTTACCATATAAGCGACATCAGTTACATGTGGTTTCATGATATCAAAAATACTTTTTACAAATTTGGGGCGGGTTCCTGGCACAAAATAAGGTAAAATGTCCATATAGTGATTTTCCAAGCGGAGCTTAGATGAGGCACAAGGCCGAGAGTATGGGACACCCAGTGAGAATCGAACTCACTACTCAGACGTAATTGTTCTAGCGAGACAAGCTTGCTAACCATTACACCACCTTGAGGTGCCCACAGTGATTTTCTAAGCGCTGCTTAGATGTGGCACAAGGCCGGAAGTATGGAGCACCCAAGTGCCGAGGTGCCCACCAAAAAATGTCCATATAAACATATATCCAAAAGGTCATCATAGTAGTTCACCAACTGTTTGGTAGGTCCGTATGTTCTCCCAGCACATCTTACAGGAGCTGTCTCTCTCTCTCTCTCTCTCTCTCTCTATATATATATATATATATATATATATATATATATATATATATATATATATATATATATATTATTAGTCCTGACTTGGTGTCTCGGCTTAGGTCCTTTTCCCATTGCTGTAAAGCTGCTTACTTTTGCCTTGTCTATAAATAAACTTCATAGTAACTCTTCCGATGAGTTCTTTGCTATGCCACCTACACTTTCTGAATTTGAGCGCAGTACTAGATTAGCAACAAGGTCCCATCGGTTTAAAGTTGATATAGCTAGATGTAGCCGTACGCTCTTTGCTAACAGTTTCGTTTCTCACACTTCTCGCTTGTGGAACTCTCTTCCGGCTACTGGCCTCCCAGTCAACGTTGATCTAAAAATGCTTGCTCTATTGTTTTCGCTCCGCAACAGTGCGTCAGTTTTCTAGTTCTCTCACACCCAGTAACCTCTTGTATCTTAGTACCTTTACTGCCTTCCATAGACCGAATTAGATTAATATATATATATATATATATATATATATATATATATATATATATATTTCAGAAACTCATAACAAATGTTCCAAATGTCCTCTGCTTGCTTCTGAACACATGCACCCATCGGATGATTGACTAGATGGCCTTTTCAAATTCTCCCAGTTGGTGTCGAAAGGTTTCGCAGGCCCCCATCAGTGTCTACAGTATAAAACAATTGTTATAGTTAGCCATATAGATAAAAATCCAAAAGATTGAGGTCTGGTGAGCATGCAAATCATGGAACTGGTCCTCCCCTACCTATTCGTCTTGCATGGCCTAAAACGTAACTGAAATATGCTGGAGTTCAATTATGCATAAATCTTTTGCGTCTTCAGCAGGGGTACTTCCTCTAGCAGGTCTGGAAGAGTGTTCGAAATAAAGTCCCTGTAGACAGCTCTTGTAAGACGTGCTGGGTGAACATACGGACCTACCAGACAGCCACCTCACAATACCTGCCCACACATTAATCATAAACTGATGCTGATATCTAGCCTCTATTGTACCATGAGGATTCCGATCCGCTGACAAAAAAGTTGGTTGTGTTAACATGTTATTCCATCTCATTGAAAATGTTACCTCATTTGTAAACAAGACGGAAGTGACAAATAACGGATCGGCAGTTTGGGCAATAAACCGTTTGCAAAGGTTCTCCCGTAGTGAGTGATTAAAGGGCGAAAGATTCTGCAAGCGTTAGAAATGATACAAATT